CAACTTCTTTCCTCCTCTTCCTTAAGTCTGGCTGTATAGAAAAGTACTTGAAGAATATTGGCCTAAAGATCAGTCTCTGAACAGTAACACAGCTGGTTAGCCCGCTGCCTCAATTCACCTCCTGGAAAGCTTTACTGATAGAACATGGCCAGCAGTATATCCAGGATAGACTTGCCCATTGCCATAACTTCTGGCCACCAAGATCAGTTAAACAAGTCAGTCCATGCAGAAGGAATTTCAGACTTTATGTACAGACTGCCTGGCTACTAATTAATCCATGTGGTCTCAACTGAGGAGGTTATACTGTGATAGATGCAGAAAAGTATTAGGCCTCAGATAACCAGTTCACAGCTGCACATCACATGCACTTTAGTGCAGCAGAGGCTTACAAATTAAAACCATTTTAACTGTGAAATTATCAAGAAACATGACTACTTAAAACTGCAAAGTAACATTCTTACAAGCAAAGTGCCTTTAGCCCAGAGAGGTAATAAACGTCTGCCCTGGAACCCCATGGTAACACACAGAGAAAACAAAACCAGGAGGACATTCAAAATACAACACCTGGAGATTCAGATACACTATTCATTTGAATTACTGGAGCTTAAACACCCGGAAAAAGTAATTTATTCGCTAAGAAAACATGGCAGAAGATAATCAATAAGAACACATAAGGCAACGTACATGCAGGAAGTCACAGTTTAGATACAAGATGCAGGATCTCTGGACCCAACAGCATACCACCTGTATAGTAGTTCATTGCTACAATTATCACTTACAATACTGTCCCAAATAAGAAGGTTTTGTCTTATAAACCCATTGTATAGCTACTACGTGGTATGCTACAGCCAACTGAATTTGGTCCCCAAAAGAGACAGGACTAGAATGACTCAGTTAATCGTGATCAGTGAATTAGCAAGTACACCCTAAATTATCAGTAAAGAGGCAGGGTTGCTGATGTGTCAATACTCCTTGATGTTAACAGCAGCCAGCAGGACTTAAAATATTGCTTCACGTTGTAATTATCTCATTCTATTACAAGCTGCCACTGAAAAAGCCAGTCTCACTCCTTTTTTTAACTTCCCTTTCCCCACTGCTCATTTCTAATGGCTCTCTTGCATCAGATTAAGCCACTGTGGTGCCACAGTAAGTCCTGAGTTAGCTCACAAAGGGGTGGGGAGGACAGGCTAGAGAGGAAAAAGTACTCCCATCAGATCATGAAGCTCAGCCAAGATCACCCCGCAGCCACACAGTCACTGCATCTGAGGCACAAAAAAGGCAGGAATACATCATCCAGGTTGGAAGGTAACAGTGCAACTGCCCTTTCTGGCAGCAACCCACAGTTTGACTGTGTAAGACACACATACCTCCCAAATCAGTCTCTAAGAAAAGCAGATCAAACTAGATACACAGCTTTGTTGCCTTGGACTGGTGAAGACCACACCTCAGGTGAGGTAACAGGCATTGTAAGCTTGCTCTAGTGCTGCTGATCTGCGTGGCACGCTAGAATACTCTAGGGCAGAATCCCAGGGGTCAATTCAGCTTCAAAGTAGTGGCTTGGGTCTCTTGGAGAAGAATCTGCTCCTGTCAAGCCAAAAACCCCTTCATATGAACAGGCCCCCAACAGCTACTAGAAATTTCCTTAACTTTGAATTCCACTTCCCTCCGTTTTGGTTCATTAGAGCACAGCCCAGTGTTGTTTGCTTTCTAGACAAACAACAAAACTTTTAAAGAAGTATGGGAGACAAAAGATACAGAAATAGATCAGCAAATTCTTAGTTTTAGAAATAAGCAACATGGGCAAATGCATAATAATGCTTCCTCCCCAAATATGAGGAGACATCCACCTTTTCCTATGACTTATTTTCATATGATCATGGAATAATTTAGGTTGAAAAAGACCTTGAAGATCATCAAGTCTAAACAATGATCCTAATGACCAACGCATTAAAGTAAGGGCTCTTAACTTCAACTCTCTCTTCCTCAGTTTCTTTTCCATACATATGGAAAAGCAGGAAATAAACTTTTCCTTGGCTCAGCCAGTCTTCATTTGACAACTTAGAAAAGTGACAGAACGCACAACCCTGTGTGTCTAGGCCTACTCAATAAACATTCTGACAAAATAAGAATCAATTCCCTCACTTCCAAGGGAGGACCTTTTTTTTTTTTTGTGAAATGGACAGTGAAACCACTTCTTGTTTCCATTTAACAACAACAAAAAAAAAATAAGGTCACCAACAGAATGCTGAAGTACTTTAAAGCAGCCTCATTCTAGTAACACAGTCACAAGCTTTCCATCACACGGCAGTCTGGGTGATCCGGTCACTGTTCCACAAAGAGCAAGAGAACTCACACAAGCCCAAAATCTCTGCCTAGATCTTCCAAAACTTGCAAGACATGGGCACGGCAAGTGAGAAATGGAGGAGTTTGCTTTGCTTCTTTTGTTCTTTGCATCAAAACAGCCCCTATCCTAAGGCAGAACAAAATTTCTATCTAGCCTGGTAGCCTGTCTGAAAGTAAGCACACATCAAGCAAACAATGATAGTTGTCTTCTCCACCTTCCCAGAGGTCTGAAGCACATGGATTTCCTGCTCCAGCCATTAAATATTTGCATTCAGCCACAGTAATTTTTTTCCTGATCTTACTCAATTGCCTTTTGAAAGCAAACTCTTATCTGTAAGATCTTCTACAACTATACAGTGGACTTCATCATCATGCGTAGAGAGAAAAAAAAAAAAAAAAATCTTTGCTTTGGATCTACTAACACAAGTGATCTCTTCTTCTGTAATAAACAGTAAGATATAGCCATATCTTGCTCGCTGTCTTTGTGCTACTTGTGGTTTTCAAAACCTTCCACCATGTCTCTCCCTCTAGGTACCTCTTCTCAACACAGAAGTATCCTAACCCATTTAGTATCTCCTTCTAGAGAAGTATTATTTACTTCTGATCACCCTTGTCACCTTTCTCTAACTTCCATAGCTCTGTTATGTTCTTTGTACTATTGAAATCTTTGGCAACCACTTTACTTAATTCAGTTATTTCTAAACATCAAGCTGAAGTGCTCATGAACTTGTATATAAAGACTTTGCCTCCCCCACCACGTTAAACGTATCTCTTTGCATATACTTATGGTTATTTTCTCAAGTCAGGCACTCAGTACCACAAAGCCTTTCAAGTCTTTCCCTGATTTTACTACTAGGAATATAACTTCTCTCATCAGTACTTCTACCCTCTTTCCCGAAGGAGACAGCACAGACCGATGTAGTATTTCCAAAATGACCACTTATTCATACTCTCTTTTTCATACTCAAACCAACTACCCGTTTACTCCATTACAGGTGTATTTCTTGAAGAACTTCTGGTGTGGAAGTCTGTCCATAAACCTTTCAGTACAAAACACACCCAGACCAACTTTACACCAACCAGTTTTGTTTGTGTGCCCAACAACTCTTTTACAGAGCTCTACTAGCCACATACTGCACGACTTGCCTTTACAAAAGGTATGTCAACTTTACCCTCATTACATGTATCCATGTATTTATTGATTACTCTTTTTCTTCGAATAGAATTTATGCTATTTAATCATATCAACTTTAGCCACAAACAGCAGTAGAAGAGTTAGATTGTCTGACCACCAGTATGCATTTGCTTCGAGACTCAAAACATCTCTTTCCCTCAAAACATCTATTTCCCTCAAATCTGTAGTATCTATACTACGTAAACATCTTAAAATAGATATGAGAAACTGGACTGCCCAAGTTTGGGGGGTTTTTTAAACAAAATTTCTAACATTTTCTATCAATGCACACACAAGTTTGCTCCTTATTCCTCTAAACCTTGTTATAAATTGGACTTTTTTTTTTTCTAATTCTGGACTAACTTGCACCATTTCTTATTGGAGCTACTGACCCTTGGATAACTTACAACTGTAAGGACACCAGCTTTAAAGGTTGCAGCAACTCCAGCAACCTACCATTGTTTTTGGCTTTTCCCCAGTCATCAGTTCAACACTACAGCAGCCCTGACGCAAGTCACCTTTTCCAAAGGGGCTCCCTCTGATCTGGGCATCACTCTCACTTCCTAATAAATCTAATTCTACTTTCTGTTATATCTTACTTTCTAAGCCTAAGCATTGTTTTTCTCCCCTTCTGTTTCCC